GGGGGGGGGGGGGGGGGGGGGGGGGGGGGGGGGGGGGGGGGGGGGGGGGGGGGGGGGTTCTCGCAGCTCCCCCCGTTTCTATTTCCTGTTTCCCTTGGAGCAGAGGAGGGTTTGCTATCAGTATCCTACTCTCCGCGGTAAACGGAGGGGATCGTTCCACCACCGAGCGACGGGAATACCGTTCCACAAACCACAACATACCAGATCCATTTTCCCCTGGGCGTAGAGAAGAACCGCGAGCACGTTCATCTCCGTGATCACCGAGGGGTCCTCCTCCCCGCCCTTCAGCTTCTTGTCCATGTCCACGACCCTGAACAGACGATGAAAACGACCGTGTTAACGCCCACGACAAAGCAAGGACGAAAAAAATCGACACCGCGTGCGAAAAAAGACAAAGAATGTGTTAGATACTTTGTTGCAACGTTTTTAGTGCGTTGTTGTGACACGCGAGGCCCTTCAAGACAACAACAGAGAAAAAAACAACACACAAAAGGAGAGATTCGGCGGAGGCGGTGTCGAAAAAGCGAAATGGAAGTAGCTCATTGATGCAGAGTCTTCTTTGCGACGAGATAACCTTCATTATCTTTCCGCCCGGATTGCCAATGCGTGAAAACGCGGTGTCATCGTTGAGGGTGATTGCGGCAACAAAATGGCATCATGATTCACTCGCTCACTACTCTCCCTCACTTTCGGTACATGCTCTCCCCCTTGTCGTAGTGCCCTTGCCGACAGTAAACCATGCCCAGAGACCGCATGTCTTCGATGATATTCGCCGGGGTTTCCCCATGCTACCAATGAAAACAGGAAAGGGAAGGGAAGGGAAGGGAAGGGAACGGAAGGGAACGGAAAGAAATGAATGACGAAATGGAACGGATAAGTACGAAGAAGATGGCAATTTGTGTCGGTTTGTCGCGCGTTCACAGGCGGCAGCGACTATAAAACACGAGTCATCAACAGAGGAAGTCACAAGTCAACAGAGGCACCCACAAGCAAGCATGATATCGCCGTCTTGCACTGCACGAGATTGGCGACAGCAACGACAATAAGGAAGGATGCGGGCCTCACTCACTCTGCTGTCGATGATATACGCCTTGTCGAACGCATCCCCGGCGTCTTTCAGCGCGTTCACCTCGAACAGAACACGCCCGATGGCCCGCAGAATCCTGCCAAAAAATATATATATATATATATGCACCGTGAGTGCGATCAGCAGAGGGGCGTGAATTGGCGTCGTCGCCGAAAACTAGCGGACAAACTCAAGCGATATGAGCTGGACCAAGCAAGCGTGAACGAATGACAGTAAATTAGAACCTTTTGAGACAAAACACACGGACACACTCCCGATGGCTCTTACAGAAAGCGGGGTCGTGTTTGTTTCTCCCTCAAAAATACTGCTGGTGGCGGCTTTGGTATCAGCCAGGCGATTGACGCCGTCGAGGCGCCCCCCTAAAACGGCAAAAACACGCAAATCAAATATCCATGGATCGCCTGCCATGTGGCCATTAGAAACGTTATCTGTGGGTAGCCTCGTTGAGGCTAGCGTGTTTTGTATTGGTCCGTCGGATCGCGCTGTCGATGCTCAAGAAACGCCACAAACGCACGTGGATGCAATCTAACACCACACACACATGAGTGTACCAGGTCCTGGCCTTTCGAAACATTTTCTGGTTTCAACCGCGCTGAGACTGACTTCTGTTCATTGTTCACATTGTCAGTACGAACTCGCGACGTGTTCGAATGCCGCGGGTTTTACTGATTGACCAAATTCCACCGACGCCAATACGGTGGGACTTCAGCAGTGCGGACAAAGGCGATGATGGTGACAATGAGGGGAATTCATTTGGTAGCGATGAAGGAGGAGGACAGGAAACGGGAGGACAAGGGAACGACCAACACGGCAATGGAGGAGGAGAGCATGGAGTGCAAGAGAGCAAGAGCTCCAAGCCAGATAACCGTCCTCACAACAAACGATGCAGGGCGAGAGAAGAACTGCCGCAAAGTTGCTGTAATGATGGCGATGAGAGTGATGGTGGTGAAAGAAAGGAGGATCATGGTGAAAGCACTCCAAAATGAACTCGAGTGCAAGGTAGCGGTCTTGATAGACACGTGCAATTAATTCTTTTGTTGCTGCCGTTTCTGTCTTTTGTGCGGAAGATAGCTTAGCCTCCCCCATGCCGCCCGCTCACGCGGTCCCAGTTCATTGCATTTTCAAGTATTTTATGGTTTCAACCGCACTGAGACTGACGTATTTTCACTAACAACGGTTATACCGGTCGATGCTAATAAGAAAGACACACACACAAACACAGGGGTTCCACGTCATGGCCTCTAGAGACAATCCTAATTTTCACGGTGAAAAATTTTCGTTGGATAGCTCGGTCGATGAAAACCAACAAAACGCGCACACGCGTACCCTGCGATCTCCGGGTGATCCCTCCCCAAAGACCTCTCCTTCATGAGCAGGGCCTTCTTGAGCAGCTGCTCCGCCTGCGCGTAGCTCTGCTTCTTGGACAGGTAGCGCCCGAACCTGTCTGAGTGGTCTGCGACCTCCTTAGAGTTAGGCCCGTACACCCGCTTGGAGACGCTCAGCAACTCCCACATGAGGTCCTCCACGTCCTCGCCCTGTTGAGAGCACGGAGGGGGTTCGGACAGGCACAACAAACGTCACATGATTGGGTCGAGCCTCAAATATTTATTGTCGAGTACAGGCGGTGATACGGTAGGATTGAACGAAAAGGACAAGAGATGACAGAGGTCACTCAGAACAAACGAAGAGCAATATAAAGAACCATAGCGCCCATAATCTAAATTGGGGCGTTCCATATGAACATTTGTGGCAGGGAAGAGTTTTAGTCTATATGGTGTGGGATACTCGCCGCCTTAGCTGGTTGGGTTTTACTCGATAGGTTCGTTGGCAAAGCGACGTATACGCATCATGCACACATACAAGTGAATATATTTTCCTATTACATAAACACACAGACACATTGCCTTTCTCCTCCCCCCAGCAAACTCGCCGAATTCCTCACGGCGCTTCGCGCGGGGTGATGTGAGGACCCGGTCTGGTGAGAACCCGGTGTGCGAGGCCAATGGCTAAACGACTACATACGGTATGCACGGCCATGAGAACACCCCCCCAGCAACCAACCAAGCAAATTATTTTTCATAGGAGCAAAAACGAACTTGTTTCTTCCTTTTTTTGTTCGAACCTGGTGCTCTCGGATGTCCATGTACTCGCTCACGCACTCCGCTAGCTCCTGGTCTAAGAGCTTCTTGCCTTCCGGTGATAGTTGCCTCTCTCCCCCTCCCCCCGGCTTGCCGTAGGCATGCAGCCCCTTCATCCACCCGTCGTACTCCGCCTCCGCTTCCGCGTACCGCTCCGGACCGGCGGCTCGAAGGAACCTCGCCAGCCGACCTGCACGCAAAAAAAGAAAGAAAAAAAAGGGGGTAGGGCGCGGAATCATGACTATTGACCACGCGTCCTCGGAGGACGGAGCGTTGTTGTTCCCACAAGAACAATCAATCAAACATGGTCTTTCGACATTAGGGAGGGGACAATGTGTGCAGTATCCCATACGCTGCGCGAAAAAAATTCACGGCGGGCCAAGCAAGTCGACAGACATATCAATACACTGCCCGAACACAGGTCATGGACAAAGCAAGTCGACAGTCATCGCAACGGAGCACATGTCTCTTTGCAGCAACCTCGACAGGCGACAGGCTTCCTCGCGAAAGACAATACTGGG